TCTTCCTGCCTGGATCGCCGTGTTTGTGCTGCCAATTAACTCAGCCTTGAATCCGATCATCTACACCTTATCAACCCCTCAGGCAAGACAGGAACGTACATTAGTACAATGCAATCGATCGCGACGGATTTCTCCATCGTTTTTATGCGTTAATTACGTATCCTCGCAGAATGCTTAAAAGTAGATAATGAAAGATATACGTCGTAGGCTTCCTAGGAAAAACCTTATCGTGGAATTATCATCCAATGAGTGGATTCGTTCATAAAAAAAAAGAAGTAGGTGGCTTATCAAATGTTTCAATTGCAAATGAACACGGCTGTCACATTTAATTTCAAAATGATTCCTCTCACCCAAAAATTTCCCGCTCCTTAAAAACTATCATTAAAAAAAATTTGCACATGAAATTTCTGAAAGCTACTTGAGCAATTTCTCATAGTTCTTTTTGAGGCATTTGGAAAATATCAGAACTGGATAAATGGCTATGCAACTTAACTGGCTGATTCTAGCATCGGCTCAATGGCTATGCAACTTAACTGGCTGATTCTAGCATCGGCTTTCCTTGTGTTTAAGTCGTATGATCAGCTTTAACATTGTTTATGAAAGTTACGTTTGTAAACTCTCTATCATATTCTCTCTTAATTTTTACAGATTTAATGAAATATTCGCTTTGCATTACCCAAACAGGTGCAGGGCATATTGCGACCAAAACTGCGAATTTTGATGAACCATATACGCAGCTTTTTCTCTTGCTGTAAAAAGCAGCAAGATCATCAAGGTAATGTTTACCGTTTTCCTTAGTCACTCTATAGGTGGGAAGGTATCTTATTTTTGTGATAGGAAATTAAAAAATCATATTGGTTTGCCTGAAAATAATATAGCTCAGTGCAATTAATGGAATTAGAAACTTAATCATATCATCACATCAATGGGAAAGCTCACTAAATATAATAAGAACTTATCTAAGGTCACTTTAGAGTATTCATAAGATCTTAGATCATATGAATATATATATATATATATATATATATATATATATTTACATGTATACATGTATGAATATGAATATTTATTATACATGTATGTTGATTGGTGTAGATCAGGAACAAGGAGACAATGGAATGCTAGAAATGGTGGAAATGGTGCAACTTGGACAAGCAGATCCGGAGCAAGGTAACTTCTGTTAAATTGATCTTTGGCATTTATCCCGACAAACCAGAAAAAATTAATATATGAATACAAGATGAATTAGTTAGGAAGCTGATCTATGTCAAAATAATGGATGAAGGGCCAAAATGAAAACTTTTAATTCTTTAATTTTCTTTATAGCTTTATTGATTTATTCAATATACCTTTGGTGGTCGTGTGGCAAGAATTGATGTCACATTAACAAAACTTGTTTTGCACAGGTTGTATCGCTATTTAAAATAAGAGACCTCACTTTAAACATAATTGACATTAACAGCATACTTTATTAGTATTGGTACTAAACAACTCAACTGACTGGGTACGAATCGACCGGGTATGAAACGACCGTGGGCCGGTACGAAACCACTGGTAACCAATTCAAATTAGTCGTTAACACCTTTATCTGTTTTGTCCTTAACGATATTGGAAGAACTTGAAGAAGAACTCCCATTAATGATTTGCAAAAGCAATAAAGAAAGAAAAACAAATGATTCATTTTCTGTTAGGTGTAGGCCAAGTTAACGAGGAAGAACATGTGCTGCCGGCTAAAGCAGGTATTACAACAAACAAGACCCAACATTGTCTTTAGAATCGCAATTAAGTCCTTGGAATTAAAAAGATGGATATGCATTATTTGATCTTTGAACGTGGACTTCTAAAAAAGGTTTTTTCGTCTGTTGATCAGTTTACTTTTTTTTGTCGTACAAAACCTAATTCACAATTTGTTTTGGCTTTTTTAATTGACGAAACTCGACGAATATTGTAGGAGAGTGGGAAACGGAAGGGGGGGGATGACCTACGATAAATAAGAATGGTCGTTGCAGGCAAAGAAAACCCGGATAAACTTCGCTGCCTCGTGGGCCAATAGGCTAGAGAATGGATTGGACCTTACTTTAGCCGAGCTTAAATGTGTTGGAACAGTTATGAAATAAACACACAAGTATAACTGTTATCATGAAGTAGATGTCACTTATTTGCTGTGTTCGATATTTAAAGCTACATTTGTTGATTGGCGGAGAAGGTGCTTATTTAAAGCAATTTTATTTTTGTTTGACTGCTTAATGTGTCTCATTTTCACACTCGATCGTCAATATAAGTTTTTTCAGTTAGCGTTGGATAAGGGATTATGTACTGTGAACATTTAAGAATATTCCTGTTGGATAATTTGATACTATTTTGTTGTTCAAGCAGAAAAAGACGAAGATGAGGGCAACGGAGGAAATTTACAAATGGTTGTTGTGGAAGGTGAGTCGTTCTCTGAGAGTCTGTATCAAAGGACAAAGCCTTGAATGCTCTTTCAGAAAATAGTAACTATTAGTGGGAAAACCTATAGAGAGTTAAAGGAAACGAACCTGAGAGGACCCCGAAAGCATTGCGCTTAGACTTCTATCAAGAAAAGGATCTGAGGGCCCATCATTTCTCCATAGAAAGAGGTGCTTGGATGCTCACTTTGTTCATCTCTGTCATAGAAATGAAATCTTAATGTCATCAATATTCTCATTCGGAGCTAATACATTGATTGCTAACGAAAACACTAATCTTAATCTGTTTTTTTTCCATTTCAGTTCATCCATACAAAGGACCACGAGATAATGCAGTCCAAACTACGACTTATGGAAAAGGTAAAGTTTTCATTGTACCAAATCAGTTTTAAAGCGGTTCATAAGTCATCGCTACTTCTTAGCTTTTATCTTTTTAATTTACGCCAAAGCCACCTTTGTAGTTTTTTAGTGCAGCTACTTATATTTTTACTTTTATTTTCCTCAGCTATTTTATTGTCGCTTTTTCTATTCCTTAAATTCACTTCACTTTGTTTTGTTTTCCCTGAAAGCTTTTTATGAACGTTATGTTCATGCGTCCAAATGATATCGAATTGTTTTGCTATCAATTTTCAAGCATCAGTTCCAAAGATAACATGAATTAACTCTGTTTTTCACGAGCCTTTCGTTGTCAAAATAGTTTATTAATTTGCCAATCCACTAATTGAAATTAGAAGACCGACCTACAACTGATAAACTCCGCCTGACTGGCCACTTGACTGACAGACAGTCGGACCGACAGACTGACTGTTTGATTAATTAATAAAATTCATGACTGTCTGAAAAACGAAGACGGACAGACTGACTGACTTACTGTCAGACGGACTGACTGTCAGGCGGACTGACTGTCAGACTGACTGACAGACTGAGTGACGTACTGACTGACGGACTGACTGACTAACAGACCGTTAGACTGACTAACTGACTGATTGTTTGAATGAAGGGGTAAGTTTCTAAAGAAACTGTGGTGCTGCGTCGGTGGGAGAGTATAGCAGGTAATTTAGTGTTAACAACTGGGTTGAAAACGTTAATTAGCCACCGTAAAGAGTAAAAAAGCTGACGTTTCGAGCGTTAGCCCTTCGTCAGAGCGATTAGAGGAATTGTGGGTTGTGTATGGATTTATATGTAGAAAGTGGAGCTACGCCATTGGTGGGAATATGGTGACGAAAAAACAGGAATAAATTAGTTGAATGAAAAGCGCTCGTTGATTCCGTGGGGATTAAGGATTCATTCAACTAATTTATTCCTGTTTTTTCGTCACCATATTCCCGCCAATGGCGTAGCTCCACTTTCTACATATAAATCCATACACAACCCACAATTCCTCTAATCGCTCTGACGAAGGGCTAACGCTCGAAACGTCAGCTTTTTTACTCTTTACGGTGGCTAATTAACGTTTTCAACCCAGTTGTTAACACTAAATTACCTGATTGTTTGAATGATCGACTGAGGGGCCGTCAGGCTGACTGTCTAACCGACCGACTGACTGACTGACTGGCTGACTGACAGACTGACCAATCCCTCTGACGAAGAGCTAACGCTCGAAACGTCAGCCTTAAAACTCTTTACGGTGGCCTACTTACGTTTTCAACTCAGTTGATAATACCAAATTAACCAATTGTCTAACTGATTGACTTATCAATCAACTTACCGATTAACAAATATCAAGGTTTTGTTTCCTT